GAGGATCACACCAAAGGCACTGAACGTGTCGTAGAGCAGTTTCTCATCAATCTCTGGGTCCAGGTTACCGATGAAGATGTTAGCACCGACATCCAGGTTTTTGTTGTGTGCAGAAGCTTTATTAACCCTGATCGGTTTGCCATAGAGCTTTATCATATTCATGATTTTGATGGCATAGTCGGCATCCTCTTCACTGAGGAACTCCACAAAGCCATAGCCTGAGAAAGTAGCAAAAACTGTTAGATGAGCTTGTTTTTAGTGATCCTTCAAAACACGTACCAAAAAGGTGATCTGATTACTTACCTTGATGTTGGCCTGTGACTCTGTCTTTGGGCATGTGTGTGTTGACCACAGGACCAGCCTGCAGGAAAAGCTCCCATAGTAACGGCTCAGACACTTTCTCATCCAAACCACCAACATATACAGTGGCGTCTAAAACATGAAGAGAAAATAAACCTCATAATGATCAGTGCGTCATCACAGGTCGTCAATCTCTTTTTCAGTGGACACACGTGACATTAAAGTAAAAGTCGATGGAGAAACTTCAAGAATAGAAAAATAGCTAATATTTGGAAATAAATTAGTTAATCAGTGAGATCCAGTCGGTTGTGTCCTTTGGAAGGCCTGTTAATATAATTCAGCCAGAAGATGTGTACAGATAACTATGCATTGTGACCGGATAAAAGATTTATAAATTATTTACTTGCTTCTTCTTAAAGTTCCTTTATTGCCTCTCACACTCTCCTCACATTTATTATACGTGTACAATATTTAATCAGGAAACTCACGTTTAGTGTTTACATCTAAAATACCTATATCTGTATACCCACATCAAGAAATAAAATAGCCCCGTATAAAATCAGCACGATACGAAACAAAGACGTTTAATATGTTTTACATGACCGCCGAGTCAAGCTACAAGCTATGTTGTTAGCTTCTTCGGCTACTTGTAGTTGTTGGTCAACTAGACGTTAAGTCTGCTGCTAATTTGTTTGGAAGAGTCGCACTTTAAAACAACCAAAAACCATCGCTGAACTGGCTTATATATAAGTAACAAGTAAAAGGATTAAAAAGTCTGTTTGCAAAGGAAAATCAGCGACATGCTAAGCTAGCGACAACTCAATGTTTCCATGTGATCTGCCATTTGTTTATCACAAACTGCTGTCTAAAGGAGGCAGTCGGTACGTAAAAATGAGCCGGTTCCGGTGAAATGTACCAGCACTTTTATGAATGAGAAGTGCAAAGAAACAAAACAGAGTTTAATGATGAGTTTACCTTGGTTTCTTTCTGAAATTGGTCCCGCTGCCATGTTGAATGACCAACGCAGGGGGAGCGCAGCACAATAAAACCCCGCCTCTTCCGATGTTGTGTACCGGAAGTATAAAACAAAAAAATAATTTAATTTAATTTAATTTAATTTAATTTAATTTAATTTAATTTAATTTAATTTAATTTAATTTAATTTAATTTTTTCTGATATGATATTAAATGCCGGATTTTAAAGAACATTATGTGAAAAACGAGTTCATTTCAGCTAGAATTTAATTTAATTATTTTTTTAATGCTTCTGGACACAGTTTTCCAAAAAAAAAAAAAAAATCCAAACAACTTATTATTAATTTATTTTAATTTAATAATAACAAACATAATTAATTAGTTTCACAAACACAGTCCAGGTACTGAGTAGCTTAGTTGTGGTTAGGTAGTCAGTGGGATTGTAGTCTCATTTAGGATTCTAAAGGCTTCAGGTTAAAAGCTCTCCCTCTTTCTTTCCGTCCTGCACACGGTAGGGTAGCATTTCGTTGATGGCAGTATGGACAACAGTCTGGATCCCATGCGATCCTCTTGGCTGCATCATTTGATTTATATGTCACCCAGATTTAGGAGATTGAACTTAATGGTTCTCTCGATTTAAAACGACCCCCATGAGAACCAAGTGATCCCAGTCAGGCGCAGCTCCCTATCCAGTTGGTGATGCTGCCATTCAAGATCCTGAGCAACCTGGACAGGGGTATCAAGTCCTTTGATCATCTGAGGTAATAGAGGCAATTAGTCTATTAAAGTTGCTTTTACTTTGATAACTCTTGTGGGCTCTGAAAGAGGAAAGATAAATGCACCAGTATTGCTCTGTAATGTTAATTTTGTTTGGTTTTGATGCCTACGATGCCTAACTAAGATTGTGGGTGGAAGGCTGTTATGCCTTCTGGTGGCATTTGCAAGTTATTGCATAATTTAAAAAAAATAAAGTGAATGAAATCAGTGCTTTTATACTCTAAAAATCTGGAATATGCATTTTTATTAATTTGGAATATTAAATTATTACCACTGTGTGTGTGTGTGGCCTTGATTTTCAGTCACTGAAAACAAGTGGCTCGACACAGTGCCATTTGTAACAGCAAATTTATTACATATACATATAAATCTACTAAAAGTATAAACATGGAATACAAAATGTTCATAGAAAATACAAACAGTAAGGACCTCGAGAAACACTCTTATAAAACAATACTGTATAGAATATGAAACATATAAAACCAGAACTTAATCAACACATCATGCATCAAAGCAAAAAAAAACAAAAAAAAAAAAACACAAAAAAAAAACATGTAGAGCCAAAACTGTTTTTTAGCAAACAAATGGCAAAAAACAAACATACGGTTCAAAAAAAACTTCAATTATATTGATAACAAAGAAAGATCAAAGGCATTTTTACAGAAGGAGCCTTGAGATTAATGGCTTGTGGCTATAAAAACAAACAAACTAAAAAACCAAACAAACCAGAAGTTGAGCATCTAAATTGAAACAAACAGCCTCATCCTCCTTCCCGTTAAGCAGTTCATTAAAACACTGCTTGAGATTTCCTCATTAATCACATTTACTTTTCTTAATTGAGTCAAAGAAGGATAAAATCCCTGAAAGTGTTTCTGCATATGAAATCCTGGCAATCTGTTTAGTACCAAGTTTAAAATTTACTGATTTGAAATTTACACATTTGAAAAAGTTGAAGATATTAACCAGGATATATAAAGATGACTTTTTCTGTCAATTATAAATTTGCATTATTAATTAAAGAGAACTGCAAAGTCAACATTTTTATATTTGCACCACACACATATGCTGCAAAGTGGGCACAAAAAAAGAAAACAGAAACAAAATCAGTATATAATGTTTATAAATTTATACCAAAGGTAATAATATTAAATACATCCTTCACAATCGCCATGTAGCATATTAAGGAAATGATTTGAATAAAACACTCTGCAGGTACTGGAAGTATTACCCAGCACAGACGCCACTTCAGACTGTAATTAAAAGACGGACGTAGCCACCATGTCATCACCCACTGGTTTGGAAGCCCTGCATTTGGCATTTTGGACTGTTTTGATACCAGACATAATAAACAAGTGGTGAGAAACTGGGACTGTTGTGGACGGCTGGATCAATAAGCTTATGAAGAGATAAAAATGAATACTGAGCAGAAAGTAGTTCAGCTTATTGATCCGGCCCTCCACAACAGTCCTGGTCTAGCACACACCGTATTTTATCATAGTCAACACCAGCTCATAATTTACCAACAGACATCATGCTGTGTGTTAAAAGGGGCCACAATGACATAAGGAAAGTAGTGACTGGGGTCAGTCATTCCAGAGGAGTTGACAATTATAAAGAATGCAGGTTGAAGGCACTTCTGCACTGGCTTCACTTTTCAGACTACAGGGGCTTGTTTGCTGGAAAAAAAAAAATCACCATTCCTAACTTGAAATTTCAAGTTAAGTTGAAATTTAGTTAGCTCTGCCAATCAGAAAGCTCTGTGAAGGCAGATCATTTCCTTGTCATCAGCTGTCTAACACTTCGACATGAACACACCTTTATCCATTTCTGCAAAGAGCCATTCAACGTTTGCTATACATTGGTAGCTCACAAGCTTCTATATTAGCAGAGAAGCTATGTCCATCTTTTTTATACAGTCTGTGATTCAGACCAATGAAGTAACATTGGTCAGATTTTGTTACCTTTGGGGCCGAGTGTGGGAACTTGTTTACATCCGTTTTCAGTCTTTATGCTAATCTATGGCGAAGCGGCTTTATTTAGCTTCATATTAACCAGACCGCCGTTCGTGTAACGTCAATCAAATTCTTAGAGTAAATTTCCCCCAAATGTCTGAACTATTCTTTTAAAATTCTGTAACAGTAAGAAATTAACTGCATGTGTAAAGATGACTGTTCAAACATTGCTAGCTACCATTTTCATAAAGGCACAAAGACTCCAGAGATGAGTTATAGAAACTTCCTGCACTTTTTCTTTGTTTGTTCTTTCTTTATATTTCGTGTAATCGGGTTCCGCTCCTGCTAATAATCCAGCATTCAGCAGCAAGAACGAGGCCTCCTGCTGTCTGACTTTCATTACATCCAAAAGAACCATATCACATCAATTAAAACTTGCGTGGGGTCTTTTTAATGCTGCTTGTTAAAACGCCTTTATCCCTACAACATATAAAAATGCATTTTATAAAGACGAACAAATATAAAGTTATGACATTTACGGGGAAAAATGGTAATAAATGCTTGTTATATTACATTTTTTTGGCATGCAGACATTATAACACTGCCAAAACCCAATTCCTTCTTCCAGTATCTCAAAAAAAACTTAGACCACAGAAGCTGGCACTGTTCTGACTACAATGACTCAAAACTGATGGTTCAGCTTTTTAAAAAAAAGAGAAAAAAAGCCCAACTCATTCTCTGGCCTCCATTTTTTAACTGCTGAGACCCTGACCTACATTTAAGTCCTAAGTCGTGTTGTAAGTCGTGTTGCTTTGCAGGTCCTTTTTGCTGATAACGCATTAAAAATGATACATTCGGCTAGTGTCATCGTCGCCAAGCAAGAGACGAAGCTTAAAAAAATGCCTTTGCAAGAAAAGCTGAAGTACAACGGCATAGTGGTGGTTTAATATTTGATCTTTTTTTTTAACCTGAGCTGCTGTCAGAGCATCAATTACCTGCTGACATGTTTCTTCTTTTGCAAATTACCCACAAATTATTATTACATGAGTCAATAAGTGTATTTCTGTGCTTACTAGAAGTCTAGTATTATTAGAGGCTGCTTCCCATAAAAAACCTGTAGGAGCAGGTTGCACATCCATTACAGAAAACCGGTGATATTAGCTGGGATCTTTTATCCCCTTCATTCATATCTTGCTGAGTGGGTGACCTCTGTTCCTGTGCTTTATTCATGAACAAACACAGGCTTCTTGCGTCATCAATTTTGGCATCTTCCCATCCCAAATACTACAACCAACCAAAACAAACCGAAGCCGAGAAGAAACACAGGAGCTATACCTCATTAGGTTTTGGTCTGATGGGTCATTTTATGCCCCGTACATTCACTGATCCATAAAGGTTTTGTCTCCATAGGTCTACTTTGAGTAAGTACAGTATGAAATAATGAAAACAAAACATGTAAATCCCAGTCACATTGAATGCCGAGCACTTTTACAGGCATCTAGAGAAAAAGCACTGTCATCCTGTAATTACTAGGCACAAAGAGGTAACGGGCTATAGCGGCTAGTATTTGTTTTATGGACAAGATGTGCATACTGTAAGTCAAGGCTTGATTACCTGGTACACGAAACAAAACAAAACCTAAAACGTTCTGAGAAGTCACCTATGAAGTGATCAATACTGTTACCAGGAATCCTACGGAGTGCGAAGGCATGTTTCCATACGGTTGGTTTAGTGTGATGGCAGAGTGGCGGTGTTGGCTGCACTGAGCTGACCCACAGCTAACATGAGGATGTCCTTCTTCTCTTTGTAAAAACGCAGTTCTCTGCCCGCCAGCCTGGCGTCCTCTAGTTCCCGCTCTGTCGTGGCCAGCTCCTGCGCGATGGTGCCCGCTACACTCTGCTCTCGGTTCACCCAGTCGGCGGCCATCTGAGTGCGCATGTCATCATCCAGAGCCCGATGGGAGTAGTGAGCCAGCACCTCCTGCAAGTTCAGCCAGAAAGTCATAAAGAGTCAGAAGATGTGATAGTGGGAAACAGCATTCCCAATTAGATATTCCTCTAGTTATTCAGATTCTGATGCTGAACCTAATAAAACTTCATTTTAAATTTCATAAGACATGAAATTTCTTTATAATTTTTGGTGAAAATGTGAAATAAGCACAGTAAACATGCACAGAAATACAGTATATATAAGACAGAAACAGAGTTGTACAATCCTAACAAGGTTGAAAGTCAACATTTGGACCACCTTTATTCTTATTTGTCCTCTAGACTTCTTGAAAAACATGAAAAGCTCCATTTTGGATGTTCGCTATCTTTAGATGATCCCACACTGCTGCAGTAATGCTGAAATCCAGCCTGTGGGGAGGCCAATCCATGGCCCTGATAGTGCTCCGCTGTGTGTTTTTCTATGCAGGTATGCTTTCACTGCACTGGCAGTGTGTTTGTGATCATTGTCACACTGTCATGCATTCATAATTCCATCATTTTTGACAAGACCTCCATCACCACTGGCTGAAATGCTGCCCCAAACCATGACAGAGCCTCCACCATATTTCACAGATGCTGTAGGCACTCTCTGTTGTCTCTCAAGAGAGGTCAACGTATGTGCAGACAGTTTTTTCTACTCTTGGCTCTGTATGATGCCAAAAAAGAGTTTTAAATTAGAAGAAAAATGCAAAGAATTTGTTTTTATGATCATATCATGCAGAGAGCTCCGACTACACCGCACCTCCTTTTAAAGCGGCTTCATGTGGCTGCCTTAAAAGGAGGGAGACCCTAACTGGAGCTACAACAAGTTTCAGAGGATGGGCTAAGGGGCTGCACAAAAGCCCAATTTGAGATAAATGGGGATTATTTTGAAACACACATATTTTAGGAGGCACATGCTTTGTTTTTGCTCTTTTTTTACTCACTGCTCATGGTGAGAAAGATAACTACAAATTTATCTAGAACAGCCCTGTCACAGAGAAAAAGCCCTGCTAAACGCTGATCGGCCACAACATTAAAACCACCAGTCAGATTTTGTGTTGGTCACCAAAACAGCTGTGGCCCATCTGGGCGTGGACGCAGGACCTCTTTGGGAGTGTTTTGGTGTCTGCCACTGGGACGCTGGATGCGGATCGTTTTGGATATGTGGGTTGCTGGGTGGGGCCTCGATTGATTGAATCTGTCCCGACTCTTACAAAGGGAAAAGAATAGGAATTTGGGCTCTTGATTGTGCTCCTTGAGCTGTTCCTGAGCAAGTTTTGCATTTTGGTGAGGAGCTAAGAAACAGCAGGACATTGCACTGTGGAGATAATCTCTTTTTTTTTTCACTTCACCTCTCAGTAGGTTTAATTTTGTGAGTGATTACTGGGAAATTTGTTCATTAAAAAAAATAAAATAAAGGTATCTGAAAACTGTTACTATTTTTGTATAATAGAAGGCATTTGTTGGCTTTACCTGTCGGGAACATTGCCGTTCTCTCATGGCTTTGAGGCTTCCGTTCCAGTGCAGCAGCTGGAACACAGTCATCAGCTCCTGGAAGACAAACACAGCCGAGACCAAGAATAAGAGACCAGTAATTCAACACTGTGGGGCCAAACTAACTACATATTATCACTTTTGGGCGAACATTTACACATAAAACTGCTACTTTTATGCATACGTGTTCTGTATGTAGCTACTCTCATACAGGCTCTGGGCCTACATTTATCATAAGTTTTCTTTTTGTTTGTTTTTTTAAAAAGCTACTTAAAACACGCACCTGAAACTCCAGCATGGACTTTCCTTTATTGGACTCGAGCATGAAGCGAAACGCCCCGATCCCTGTGTTGGGGTTGTCGGCCTCTTCTCTGTTTCCCTGTGAGCATAGACAAGCACTTAAAGTCAAGTCAGCCACAGGTTGAGCTCACATAGTAAATGCTACTTACTCATATCTCCCTGCAGATATTTGGCACATATTTGTGTTGAGTTTGGGAGTCAGTCCAATGCAGTGTAATTTTCCTTCATTTAATTTTGAGAAGCATCAGCTATTTGTATCCATAGTATACACTTTCATAATATTTACTATGTGTAAAAAAACAAAACAATCCATGCGTATGATGCCAGCAACTGAGCAAAATTAACCTAATACATCATGTTTTTGGAAGCGCGTTCAAATCGACCATCCTGCTTGACTGACAGTCGTACAAACACAACTTTGAGTTCTCGGCACTTCTTTTTTTAAACTTACATTAAAGGAGGCCAACGCCTCATTCACGCTCTTCTCAATGAAGTCGTCTGTAATCCGACGCGAGGGATGTTCGTTAAAAACGGAGTTCATCAGGGCTATTTTGGCGGCGCTGCGTCTCGCCTCTGCCTTTGTGGGACAGAACTGTCAAACAGCAAAGAGAGCATGTATCAGTGGACAGATAAACAGTCAAAAGGCCAACGACAACCCGGCCGGTCTTTAAATGACTCTTTGTGGCTTTGAGCTTGCATCCATATTTGGTCTTGTGGTTTTAGGAATGCTTGCAACAGAATAACCAAACCACAACACATTCACTGACGTTCAACCAAAGACAATGGCGTGTTTTTACAGTAATGTGCAAAAAAAGTCTTGAGCCACTCCTCGTTTTTTTATATGTTGATGGGAAAGCGGGAAGGAAAATTAGAGTTAATGACCTCGAAAGTCAGTACTTGGTATGACTACCTTTATTCTTCAACACATCCTGAGCTTGCTTTGGCAGCTTTCTTGTCATTTCTTTAAGTAGTTTCTTTGGATGTTGGCTGCCTTTTTGTTCGGTTTTATGTCAAGATGATCCCAATGATGTTGACAGCACCTGAGAGCCCAATCCATGACTGATAGTGGTCCATTGTGCGTGCTGAAAACTGAAGTTGTTGCGAATTGGATCCTTTTCAGAAGGTGTTGCATGTTGAATCAAAATCTAAGGGCACTTTTCTGCGTTCACAAGTCCGTCAGACTGAAATGGAACCTCAAACCATGACAGAGCCTCCACCTTGTTTTACTCATGTAATTTGGCATAACTCAGCCTTCCTTAAGAATGACTCCTTGACAGCCAGCCTTCCACAGGGACATTTATGATGAGGCTTCAATGAACAGTAGAGGGATCAGCTGAAGGTCCAGATGCATCTCTCAGGTCCTGTCAGGTCTTTTTTGGATTCCTTTCTATTTCTTACGTAAATAACTTTCCAATACCGTTCGTCTGATGTAGATAGTTTTTAGGCCACTTCTTTTGTCAAGGCATTATGCCAAGTTTTCAGCCAACAGATGTTTGGGAATCACCTCGTTAATATGAAAATAGAACTTTATGCCTGTCAAACTATGTTATTGTTGGCATTTTTACAGACTCGGCTAAAGAAAATTGAACAAATGATGTGTTTTTGTGGCAGGATGAAAGCAACAAAGTAGTTAAAGATCAGAGATGGGCAGTAACGCGTAATCTGATTACTTTTTTCGAGTAACGAGTAAAGGGATTACTATTGCAAAAACGGTAATTAGATTACCGTTACTTTCCCGTAGAAACGCTGCGTTACTGCGTTACTAAAACCATGATTTTTTGCGAGAATGTCTCATGACAGTGACGTAAGCGAGTGCGCCGTTAGTGACAACAGCTGTGTGCAGATCAACAATGGCTCACATATCGATTGTGGGAGAGAGTATGAGCGTGCAGCGTTTAAAACGTGGAAGTACTGACCTTACTTTGAGTTTGATTCCATAAAAAGTGACAAAAACATTAGCGTCCATCGTGCGTGGGAAGAAAACTTCTTTTTACAGCGAAAAAAACCCCTAAACTTCCGAGCAAGCACCGAGTGCGCAACAACGTAATGGGAAACTCACAGAGAAACTCGCGGATTCTTCAACTGACCGCGGCACACCTGCACCAGGGTAAACCTCCGCCTACCGCAGTCCTGCTTAATAGGTGAAAATAGAGCAACAGGACCGCTGAGTCTTTGACTTTATTTATTTTCTGCTGTGTTTTACTTGCATCTATTTGAAAGACTGAGTGTAAACACAAAAAATATTTTATTTTATGTGCTGGAATGTGCAGAAAATAGGTTTAAATGTTAAACTAATTTATTCAACTCAGAGAATGTTGCATATAATTAAATTTTTGCTTGATGCATAAAGTTAAAAGATTAAAACTGATAAAACAAGTTAAAAAAAGAGACTTTTCCATTTGATTACATTTTGTATGATGGTTTATGCAGAAAAAGTAGAATTGGGCTGAAAGATCTATCGCTTTATCACCTCTTCAGGTTTTAAATCGTGTTTTTAAAAAGTAACTAAGTAACTAAGTAATTAATTACTTTTGAAAATAAGTAATCAGTAATGTAACGGGATTACTTTTTTGGGGAAGTAATCAGTAATTAGTTACTGATTACTTTTTTCAAGTAACTTGACCAACACTGTTAAAGATACACTTTAAAGTTGGTTAACTGCCGAGTTGTCTGTTACGTGTAGACACAGCACTGGTTCATCCCTCCTGTCGGGTCTTTGCTAGTTTTTTTTAAGGACGTGACCTTCAGATACTGTTCATATGCTCTAGATAGTTTTTTAGGCTTCCTGCTTCTTTTTTGTCCTCCACTGCGCACCATCGAGACGTATACCAAGTTTTCCAGTAATAGCTCTTTGGAAATCACAAATATATATAATTTTATGCCTAAGCTTTCACATTTTTCATGCTCGACTAAAGAAATGTGTTCTTGTGACAGGCAGCAGTTTAAAATTGTAAGATGTCTGTTATGTGCAGACATGCATAAAAAAAACGTTCCTTTGAAACGGAGTAAAAAAGCAGCCAATGTCCAAACCCGCTTTAAAAATTCCAAGGAAGTCCGGCTCCTTTGGAAGCAAAGTATAAAGACTTTCATACAGTACTGCATATTTCATAATATTCACGCTAACAGAAAGCAGACACTGCACCTGGAAACTTCCAAAGCAGCTGCCGCCTGGAAGGCTAACATAGCAAACATAAGGAGGGCTGTTGGACGGGACCATTTCATAAACAACGAGGGCTCCGTTCCTCAGGTCGGCTCCTCTGGTCAGCTTCATCTGCCAAAATTCCTGCAAAGCCTCCACCACGTTCACTGCAGGACACACAGATAAAAGAAGAAGCCCTGTTACATCACACTAATACAAACCATTAGTGCAGTTTACATGTTTTGGTCTGTAGTCGTTAGGCGAGCTCTGCGACATCCTCTCTAAACAAAGATGGAAAGGTGCAGGGGAAGGTCGTCTCCAGGATGCCACAGGGTTTTCCGGAAAGATTTTAGGTGGCTGCCCAGAGGAAATTCTGCATCACCTCAGAGGAGAGGCTTGGAGAAAAACACTCGACTCTGGCCCTCACACGAGAGAACGGAGTTCATGTCATCCACAAGGAAACAAAAACAACAATGGAAAGCTGCAAACTCTGCAACTGAGTCATAAATGATTACTTGGGTTTGGGGTCTGTTGGGAAATATGTGTGCAGCCAACATGATTTGAACGAAGTTACCGCCTGAATCTTGCTCTGGAGGCCAGGCCACTTTGTCGAACATTAAAAACAAAAAATTAAAGCTTCTGTCAACAAACTACAAGCCATATTTTCCATACTATAGAGCCCTGAAGGACAATCCAAATCATTTTTTAAACACACACGGCTCTCTTGCTTTTACTCTGTGACAGAGTTTTTATCAAAAGTTTTAAAATGTTTTAGATACTCTAAATATTTTGGTTGCTTTCCATCAGGGAGGCGCCTGATCTCTCCTAAGCTCGCTCTGCAGGATGACAGATAATGCGTCCAAAGACACAGCCAGAGTTGTAAAGAACCATCTTCAGTGTCAAGACGAACAAGGAGAGGCGCAACAGATGGTCAGGCCCCCACGGAGCCCTGATCTCAAAGTCAAGTCAGTCTGGGATTACATAAAGAGAGAGCCTAAAGAAACGGAAACAGCCTAAATCTGCTCATTAATGTGGGCAAGAGTTGGTGCTACTTTAAAGACAGTTTTTTTGTGTGTTTAATGCTTTTTAAAAACGTATTTTACAAATACTGTTTTTTGTACTTCCACTGCAGCTTTTGTCCAGAATCTACTCTATTTTAAAGTCTGGAGGTATGACGAGATACTGGATTTGCATTGCGGGTCTGCAGCCTGTAGTGCAGCAACTGGGGCTAACAAACCAATTCAGGCTTGTGACAGTGGTTTATTAAGGCCTCTTGGTCTGTTTTTATCCAATTCTGAGGATTTCCTCCATAACAAAAGTGCAAAGAGACAGGAAACTCTCGGAGATATCGAAGGATGTAATGTGAAGCTGATCCAAACTACAGTCAAAGAACATCCTGCAACTCCACTTGAAAGTCCAACGAAATCTTTTCCAAAGGTGTATTTGCACACATGCTCCCCCCTTTTTTTTTTCTTATAGTACTCCTTTAAATACACTTAATAGGCCTTTTTGAAATTGCAACTTAATCGCTGCTTGAAAGCAAAAGTATAGGAAAGCCTAATTACATCACCTCGTGTGTGTTTTACTGCCAAAAGTCTTCAAAAAATGCTGCCAATAATTGTGTTAAGAAGCCTAACTGGCATGCAGGGGGAGAGGCTGTTAGTTAGGGACACATGGGGACCATGTTTTGGAAATAAATCCTATTAGCCTGGGACAGGCACACATGTTAGCATTACTTAAGCTTTTGGTCTAATGATAGTTTTAGGAAAACTCTGATAGAAATCAGTCAAGTACTTTAAATTAAACTGGATTTTTCAAGTAATTATTACAAATGATGTGCATTTTGCACATCATGAAGTAATAATATAAAGTTTAATATAAAGTACATAAAGCCTTATAGGGGCACTGCTCTTTCATTTTTCAAGGTTATTATCGATTTCCACAGTGTCTATTCTTGTTATTTACCGTGTAACATGAGTGTAACGGCTAATTTATGAACAATAGTGTATTGTTCGTAAATGCAAACCCCTGCAGCCCCTGGATGTTAATCCTGTGATGGAGTGACTGGAGCGAATATCAAAGGAAACTTCACGGTAACATTGCATCAGGTGCAAATGACCACTGGTGTGTTTACACACCGGAGATAAAGGTGGAAATTACAGGAGTTTGTTCTAAGTGTGGTGGAGGTTTTTTGTGCCTTCCTTCCAAACTAATGGCGCAGCTGAAAGTGGTTTCCAGCTCTCCAAAAGTCCCCTCCCCAGCTACAGCCTGAAGCAGTATGACACGCGTTAACGCCGCTATTTCCAGGACAGTGTCAGCAGCGGACATTACCTCTGCCGTAACCCTGCGTGTGTTTGGCGAAGCTGCGAACCACAGCCTCCACCGCCTCCTTCAGCACGGCCGGGTTCCCCGGGTTACAGTGACCGCTAGCCCCCGGCCCCAGCCCCGCTCCCATTCCGCCGTACAGGCTGTGGAGCTGCAGCGGAGGCGGCGGGGGAGGAGGCCCGGAGGACGCCGCCAGAGAGGCCGGAGAGGACAGCAACGGTGCGATGGGGACCGTAACCCCGGGCCGGAGAGAGGAGCGGAGGGTCCCGGTCGCTCCCGAACTGAATCCGATGCCCGGCTGTAGCCGCTGATGGCGGACACTGTCCGGGATAACGTTGGATTCCATTGTCCCGACGTAACGTCTGCGGAGTCCCGGCAAAGGAGCAAATCTGTAGCGAGGAGCCCGACGGCTTGAGCTGAAAAAGTGAGCTTTAAGAGCTGAATGAGCGAAGTACGGCAGGGTTTTTCTCAGTCACAGCCTGTAAGCGCCGAGCCGACGTTGATTCGACACATAACGGAGCTGCTGAGTCCTCACTCCCTGGATTAGACTGCGGGACTGTCAGTCAAGTGCTGCCTTCAAGGACCCCTCGTATCCTGTTTCTTCTACACTGTGAAATGCATTTACAGTCAGGCTGTACACGTTTTCTAATGTGTGTTTGTAAGCTGGTATTCTTTTTATTTTATTGCACCTGTTCATTGTTACACGGACTGTGTTTTTAATGGGCTAATTTCCTTCCCTCCCCCCCACCTGTGTTTGCTTGTTTTTGTGGAGTATTTCCTCATCCTAGCTGAGGATCCAAGGATGCAGGAAGCTTTACTTCCTGGGATAGTAATAACACACTGACCTTAAGTTGTTATAATATTATCTTTGCATTCAGATTGTAATACAAGCGCACAAAATATTCTACAGCTAGGAAAGTCCTTTTTTTTTTTTTTTAGCTCTGATTTAGCTTTATGATGAAATCCTACCAGAAATAATAAACCAGCTTCTAGGTTATTATAGGTAGTATGGTAAGCTAAACTAAAAAGTGAAAATACATGTTAAAAAAAAAGTTAAATAAAAGGAAAAAACTGGTCATTTAAAGAAAAAAATTAAAGCTAACTAAAGCGGTTTTGTAAACTTGAAAAGCCAACTAAAGTTGAATAAAAATGGAGAAAATGTTAGTAGTTCTTCTTTTTGTTAATTTGATTAAATTAAATTAAAATAAAACAAAAAACGTAATAGATGTGGCTCAGGTGATCGAGCAGGTCGTCTACAGGTTTGTGGATAGACAGGCAACTGTCATGAGAATTCCAATGTTTTCTGGAGGACGTGAAGGCAACAGTGGAAAATCAGAAAATATCAAGCCAAGAAATCTGAGCCTCCTCTGTTCTCCTCTGGCTCCAACAGAGAACAACTACAGTGCGGGTTTACAGCTCCAACTCTGCTGAAGCATGTGATTAAAACTTGGATCAGACTAACTCAGTTTACTCGATAAGAGGTGGAAAAAAATGATGATCTTACTTTGAAATACTGAAACATAATGCAACTTTGTACTACCTTAACTCTGAGCTGGAGTGAGGGTGAGACCACCAACCTAGAGCAGAACAAAGACTTGAAGAGGAAATGGGACCTCCTCTTGTGCCTCCTAAATATTTTTTAGGACTTTGTGGGTCTTGTGTCATTTTTCATTCTTTCTGCGGTCTGCGATGAAGCCAGAGAAGTCCAAAGGAGGAACTAGTCCTCCCTCACTTTTTTTGTTAAACTGAATCTGCATTAAGTCAAAGATTGAACCTCATCTGTTTCCACTAAAAAGCCCATTTTAAACAAATTAGAGCCCAGTGAGAAACTGGAAATCGCACAAAGGACAAGAAAAACCGTCAGAAATAGTGTTTATTGCAGAGTCTGCAAACAGCTGAAGGATTTCTGCAGATGCGCACTTTATAACTGTGAATGAGTGTGTGCCTGACTAGTGCATGCTTTTATTTCCCGACCCATAACTTCATAACTTCAAGGTCCATGGCTTATGTTCACTTCTTCTGACATTTGTCTGTTGATCCTGTTCTCCAGTTTTCTAATGGGATCTTGTGTCAGCATGGACTGAACTCCACGATGGATACAACTTTGATGATGGAGGTTTCAAGATTAGGTCCAAGCAAAGCTGCTACGGGTGATCCTCTGACCTAAATACTGAGCATTCTCACTCTTTTTTTTCCTTCTTAAATATTCAGTTTGTCTCATTGTTTGCTATATTACAATTATTATCGTTTACAGACATCCTGAACATGTGCTGTTCCCTCTAAAGAGACCTGTGAAATTTCTGGTTTTAGAAACACCACGGACATGCAGGAAATTTAAGTAACTTCTGAAACAAGCTGTTTTAGCATCTCTTGCTTTCTTCTGATTGGCTGCCACTCATAAACAAAGGGTTTGAGCAGCAGGTTGGTGGGGCTTCTGTGCTTACAACTGTGCATCTGATGATTATAGACATCACACAGAGACAAGAATAAAAAAGAAACTGGCAGAAAATGAGTGTTTACAGCTGTCAGAGCCAATCCCTGTAATGGACTGGCAACTTGTCTATTTCAGTATCTATCTGCACTTACATTTCAAGCCATTACACATTTAAATTTTTGTGATTACAGCTTGTAGTAGCTCATGAAAATACAAAATCTGGTAGCGCAAACTAGTAGAATAATTATTAGAATGTATTTAATTTTGTTTTGGGGGATGCAGTGCATCTAGAAAGTATTCACAGCACTTTTCTTGTTCTACATTTTGTCATGTTACAACTTTATTCCAATGTGCATTAAATTCATTTGTACCTCAAAATTCCATGAAAAACTTTGTTTAATATTCTTGAAACTTTATTGAATATAAAGAACAAAAGTTTAACATGTACCTAAGTATTCACAGCCTTTGTCATGACACTCAGACTTGAAGTGAGGTGTATCCTGTTTCAACTTACAATCCGTCATTGTTCCTATAGCTTAACTGGAGTCCTGTGATGATTTCAGTTAATTGGATGTGATTTGGAAAGGCACACACTTGTATATACGAGGTCCCATAGTTGACAGTACAGGTCAGCGCACAAACCAAGCCATGAAGTCCAACAAATTGTTTTTAGATCTCGGAGACAGGATTGTACCGAGGCGCAGATCTGGGGAAGGGTACAAAAAAATTCTGCAGGATTGAAAGTCCCAATGAACACAGTGGCCTCCTCCATCACCCATAAATGGAAGAAATTTGGAGCCAACAGGTCTCTTCTTAGAGCTAGCCTTTAGTCAGGTGACCAAGAACCTGACGGTTACACTGACAGAGCTCCAGCTGCTCTGTGGTGAGATGCGAAGCATAGGGTCATCATTTCTCCAGCACTTCATTAATCAGGCCTGTATGGTAGAACAGCCAGGTGGAAGCCACTCCTCAGTAACAGGCCCATTACAGCCTCTCTGGAGTTTGTCATAAGACACCTGAAGGAATCTCAGACCACGAGAAATAAAACCCTCTGGTCTAATGAAACAAAGATTGAACTCTTTGGCCTGAATACCAAGGAAACCAGGCATCGCTCATCACCTGGCCAATACCATCCCTACAGTAAAGCATGGTGGTGGCACCATCATGCTGTGGGGACAGTTTTCAACAGGAGGGACTGGGAGACTAGTTTGGGTCAAGGGAAAGATGAATGCAGCTATGTAAATAGACATCCTTTATGATAAACTGCTGCACAGCACTCTGGACTTCAGACTGAGACGAAGGTTCATCTTCCAGCAGGACAATGACCCTAAGCACATAGCCAAGATAACAAAGGAGCGCCTTCAGGACCACTCTGCGAATGTCCTTGAGTATGCAAGCCAGATCCCACACTTGAACCCAATTGAACAGCTCAGTGCACAGATGTCTTCAGAAAAGGAGCTTCAGCTGTTGTATTCCTAATATCAAGCTGCTCTTGAGCTAGAGACATAGTCAGAAGTGGCTAAAGAAGAAAAAGGAACTGGATTGTTGCTCATTGGTCCAAAGTCCTCTTCAGGTGAAAGTAAATTTTGCATTTCGTTTGGAAGTCAAAGTCCTGGAGTCTGGAAGGAGAGTGGAAAGCCACAGAATCCAATGTGTTTGAAGTCCAGGGTGAAGTTTCTGCAGGCTGTGATGAGTTGGCATGCCATGTCATCTGCTGCCGTTGGAGGTGGTTAGCTCACTGTGTTTTATCAAGTCCAGAGTCAATGCAGCGTCCACTGAGAGATTTTAGAGCACTTCATGCTTCCATCTGTGGACAGGCTTTATGGAGTTGCAGGTTTCCTGTTCCAGGAGGAATAAATACCAGCCCACGGTACCAAAACTAGCATGTTTTTCTCACTATGTTATTACCGCCGGGTCGCCTAATCTGAACCTCACAGAGAGTCTGGGGGAAACATGAAAACAGCCTGGCCTCAGCAGCGCCAAAACCCGATCACCTCCGTGTTACACCACACTGACGCAGTAATTCTTGCTAACAGAGCCACAGTCAAGTACTGAGTATATAAATTAACTGGATGAAATATTCTAACAATCTGAGACACTGGATTTCTGTTTTTCATGAGCTATAAGCCAAAAAACTTCATATGTTTCACTTTAGATATAATGACAATAACATAAATGAAAGTTTTCCTTTCAGGCATAACTTAACAGCATTAAGATGCTCTTGTATATAGCTCTTCCACAATCGGGTACAACATTTAAAAAGTTGATAGCAGTACATCAGTTTTGTCTATTTTAATATAAGAGGGCAGCTTAGTACATGATTCACTTTAGCAGTAGCTGCTTTACTGAATGTTATTACAGCTCTGAGTACGTTAGTGCTTCTTTCCCGCTGAGTTGAGCGCGTAATGCAATCAATCATTTTTATGGATGAGCGAAAGCCTCAGGGGGTCAAAGCTTAAAGGAAAGACAGAATCAGGACACTTTTTCTTTTTTCATGCTGACATCTTTTCGAGTAAATGCCCCCATTGTTCACGTCGTAGCTCTGCTGAACTACTTTATTCCTGCTGCACACACTTTAATGTCAAGTGATGCATCCTCACGTCGATTGCATACCACAAAGCAGATGGTTCTGTGTCTGGAGCACTTTTTAGAGACGTAAACAGCTTAAGCCAATAGGACAGTGCAGGCCTGGACACAGAGAATAAATGCTGGGTTGCAAACACGGTGCATGTTTCCACATCTGGTTTTGATCAAAGCTTTACGGTCATAATCTCATTTTTAAAACTCCACTGCAGACTTTTCCCACCAGATGAATAGAGGCTCACGATACATTTGTACAAGGTTTATTAAACAGCTCGTGTTGTTTATGCTCCCTGCTCACATATTTCTATCCAAACACATGTATGAGATTGTTTATTACTGGCTGGGGTGGGAAGCAGTCGGGAATTAATCATTTTACAGCAGCTATAAAGATAGATTGGAGGCAATAACACCCTGCTGGATGTAAGCCAAAGGTAGAAGGTTTACATTCACATGAATGAGTGTAATCCATGACAGTGCTTCCTAAAGAACAGCTGAATGAGGCAGCTTGAAATATTTTTTTTCCCACTTAATAAAAAAAATGTTCTGCTTAGTAATTAATTAGAGTAATTAAAGATGAACAAATTCAAAAAAGGGTGATATTTTGTGTTATACAGCATGAAGTTAGCATGCTAACATTTGGTGTTATTTTATTTTGCAGGTACCGTTATGGTCAAAAGTTCTTACATCCACTCATCATGGTCATTTCAAATTTCATGGTAATTTTAGCTTTCAGTGAT